TGTTATAAAAATATAAAAAAGTGCGAGTAGCACAATATTCTGATTTTAGCAGTAATCTCATAAATAGTGTCTTCCTAATCATGTTTGATCTTTCCATTAGATGTGTGTAAATAAAAAATAATACAGAATGAGAACAACCATGGAAGAATGAAGATATCAAGAAATGGGAATTAGAAAATCAGCATCCTTTATTTCACAGCATGGGCACATCCTTTTTTTATTCATAAGCCTGAGAACTGATAATAATTCACATGGTCTTGATTCAGGACAGAACCACTGATATTCCAAGAATTCTTTGAATACGTTTCAAATGCAGTCTGACTCTCATTCACAATTTGCCAGGGTTACCATCTGGTGAACCACATCATTCCTTAGCGGAGCTGCCTCCTGAACTGGGTGCCATGTCACTGAAAGAGGTTATCCCAGGTATTGTATATATGCAGTACATGTACTATACACACACATATATAGTGTATATCTCTATATAAGTACGTATATCACAGCTATTCTCTGATGGGATGTTTTATACCCTTATTACAGAAGGTGCTTCACCAGCTATATTTTAGAAACATAAATTGAAGCATATATACTTACGTACATATATACATTTACACGTACAGCTGATGTAGAACACTTACTGACCTCTTCCTCAACAGTTTGAGATTGCTGCTCAGGTCAGGGCTGGCTCCAGGCATGGGGTACAGGAGACAAATTCCGAGGATATCGGGCTGCCAGAGTTAGGAGAGACTCTCAGCCAGAGGTCAGGGTATTCCAGGGCCAGCAGGGACAGGTACCCAGCACCTCAAGTCCCTTCCATCATTTTCTAGCTCCCATCCCACCCTGTCCTTCTGCCATCCTCCTCCCACAGCAGGGATTTTCTTCCTTACATCACCTTTTAGTTAGAATTTAGCAGAAGGCTAGTTGACCTGGAAGGAGACCACACCAGTAATGCTGTGATCTAGCTGTGCTGCTAGCATCAGGCTTTTTCCGTCCCGAGCTGTACAGCTGGGCACAATGCTCACTTTGAAATCCCACACCACACACTTAGAAACTACATAACGTGATGGCTTTCATTAAAAATATTATCTGGTGATGATGGTGTTATGGAAAGAACGCTCTCACAGGCACACTTACAGACCCAGGCTGGGGCGGGAGGAGTGCAAGGCATTTTTTCCATTTTCTTTACTGGTTGTAATCCATAGGGGAATGACAGATTAGGTGGGCAGAGGCTGCACCAGCTATGAGATAAATCTTGGAGTTTACAGCCTTATTGGCCCTGCCACATGATACATGTGAAAACAGACGAGTATAAGGAGTGTGGATACAAGGCCAGGTATACAAATGAAATTAATCATCAGAAATTAACGAAGGATGTTCCAGGGAAGTTCTTTCTGACCTATAACACAGTTTGGAATCTGCATAAACAGAAGCAAGGTTTAGAGAAGCAGATTTCAGATGCAATAAATAATCAATTACTACTTGCAATCTTCCTTGCTAAATCAAAGAGTAAGAGATGCCACTCTTGGTTTGATCCTAGCATGTTGGTGTGTTCAGAAGAAACTCTCACCAGGGAGCAAAGATCAAACTTATGGAGAGAGTAAGAACTGTATCAAAAAGTCACACAGAGATACAACTTCCAGAGCAGAAAATGTTTAAAAACATAGTGGGAGGGCACTGAAACTGAACATAAAAATCAAAATGAGGAAAGTAAGCTCTTCTGACTTAGTTGTATCCAACTTACTCAGGTTGGAAGGCAAGCAGAAAAGGAGTCAGACGAGCAAGTAAAAACAAAGCACACCAACTGGGAGATAGAAGAGGTAGGGAGCAGCAAATCAAGATACAGTAATCTCATAAAAACTTACATTTTCTCTATTTTAAGCCAGATTTATACAAAAAGATTAAATTTAGTATTTGCTTTGAGGTCAGAAGGAAGAGGCACAAATACTTTCCCAGCTCCTTGACCGACATCCCGCTGCCTTTGCGGGATGCAGCTGGCAGGCTGAACCATCCCAAAAGGGCTATGGACCAGGACAGAGGATCGGGCAGGAAGCACGGGGCTGCCAGACGAACTGTTCTGCCCACCTTTCAATTTTTGGAGTGCGTGTTGTATTGCTTGCAGGTGTGAAGATCAGTATCACCAAGAAGTGCCACTTTCAAGGAGATTTTCCAGAGATTAGATGATGCCTTTCCAACATATGATTCTCCTGACTTGCTAGGAGAGTGCAGGGACTTGCTACAAAGCGAAGCAAGTGCAGCAAGCTAAGGACTTTGCTTTTTTCCACAGAGAACACTGTATTCTTACAGATCTGTACTTGTATATACAGCCAGATTACAGTTTTGAAAATATAAATTAAATATTTATCAGTAAAGGAACTTCAGAAGATACATCAACAAAGTCATGATCACTACAGAGAGACATATTCAGTTAATAAACCTTGGCTCAGTACATTTTTAATAATGTGCTACAGAAATAGGGCTTTTCATTGGTGTTACCACCTGTACCAGCACTTGTTCTGTTACCCCTCCTGGCACACACTAACCTATCCACTTACGCTGCTCTCAGGAGAACGCTTACTCCCACCATGGCTCCGGGATTTACATCTGACATATGTTCCTCTTCTTCCCATACCCCAGCACTTAAACTCTGTATTCATTTTTTCCTTGCTGTTTAGAAAAAGGGCATTTTTTATTATTTTTTTTTTCTAGTGTGGCCTCATTTTTGCAAATCTGAATGGCTAAATTATTTATGCCTGAATGCTGGTAGCACAGCATAGACCTGATTGCATCTTACTATTTCTTTTCCCTCTGCTCTCCTGCTCTCTGGGACTCCTCTTCTGGTCATGCCACGGCACTACTGCACCAACAAGGCCATGTCCCTCTTCTCCAAGGCTTATTCTAAGGCAAAAGGAGGCGGATTTAATCCACAGCTGTGTAACCACATAAATGCATAGACACCAGCCTGGCTTGAGAGAGTGCTAGAGCATCAGGTTGTCTGCGTTGGCAGTTTTGGCTGATGTCCTGTGATTCCAATGAACCAGCAATTTGAATAGCAGAGGTTTTTTAGATATCATATTCTTATCCCATCCCTAACCCCCTCCTCCTTCCCCCGGTATTTTGGAGGGATTTATGTCTTATTTTTCTTTAAAACTTTGGATGTGTGAAAGCTAATCTAGAACATGGGTACGGGATGCACACAGCTGTGCTGTGAGCTGGGCAGGCCAGGCTGGGAGAAAGCGACGCTGCCACGGAGCAGACGGGAACTCAGGAGCAGCCCAGATTCGCCTCGAGGGCTGCAGGGTGAATTAGTTTAGGTTGTGTATGAAAATGCAAAACCTGTTCAGTTGGTTACCTTGCCGTAAGCAGGATCCTGGGGCTCTGGAAGCAGAGGACAATTGCCTCATTCATTTCCTGAGGTTAGTTTGTTATTATTTTTTATTATTTTTTTATTAAAAAAAAAAAAAAAGACTATTTGTAGCATGAATGTTGGATTTCAGGATCAGGAGCATGAATTTGGTGCCTTGGATAGCTGGAGATTCGGTGGTGCTGCTAACACAGCTAGCTACTGACTTAGCTCCAGCTGTATCCTTGATGGGATAATTTTTTATATAACAAAGTTTACAGAGATGGATTTTTCTTTTCAAACAAGCAGCTAGGGTCAGAAATGGAATAAAAAATAAAAGTGGGTAGTGAAGCCAAGATATTTGAAAACCACTTGGCTTTTCACTATAATTTAAAACCTTTGCGTCCCCCACTAGTGAATCTAATAAGAAAAAACATAAAATGTAATATGAAAATGACTGGTGCTAAGAGCGAATTTGGCTTACTCTCTCTCTCTCTTGGGCCCAGGGAAAATATTCCAACAGAAGTCCAAGAGCTTCAGCATGATGCAAAGAAAATTCCTTGTCTTTCAGGTAGCTAATGCTACTTTAGGAATGGAAATACAAGACAGTGATTACAGTAGCTTTGAGAGGCGTCATTTTGGTTTAGTCCTAAACCATAATTCCTGCTCAGGATAAGTGAAAAAATAAAAAAAACTAGGACCCATAAATCTCCTAGAAGGACAAAAGCCAAGGATAAACTGATATGGAATTTGTACAGTGAGAATTATATTCCTTTTATTAAATCCAAACAAAGGGGGTTGCTGAATCCCGCAGAAGGTGGCAGGGGAACCTGGTGCGGGGAGGCACCCATGGGAGCAGGGCTTTGGGTCTGACCCAGCTCCGGCCCTACACCAAGAGGGCCTGGGAACTGCTGTGATAAAGCTGCCTGAGAGAAGCCAACAAAACAGCTGCTAAAGACGGGTAGAAACTCAATTTTGAGAAAATAGGATCTTTTGTGCCCAGAGAAGCTGTGGGTGCCCCATCCCTTGAGTTGCTCAACGAGGCCACTGGGCTCTGGGCTGGGAGCGCTGGATGGGCTTTGAGGTCCCCTCCAACCCAACCCAACCCAATCTGGGATTCTGTGATTATAGGAAATAATATCGAGGCTGTATTGATTGTATTTTATCCACCAGGACCAGCAGCGTGCGCTGAGGGGCAGTCACACTGCTTACACAAGGAACGGGCAAGAGCATGAGGGCAGATGGTGAGGAATCGTTAACTTGTGGAATTTCTGCTGCAGGACACACCGGGCTTGGAGGAAAAGTTATCTGAGCGTGTAGCGGGGCCGCTGCGGGGCGGGTGGGTTTAAGAACAGCGCAGACCCTCGAGGTTTTCATGTCAGGGCTGTTCACGGCGCTAAGCCCGGAGGGTGCCGCACGCCTGGCGCTTCAGCCTCAAGGGCTGGGGTGTGCCCAGGGGGATCAGCGCTGGTTTAAACCACCCGAAAATGACCAAAAATCCACCAAGGGAGCTCGCCAACTCCCCAGGTCGCGGCCCCTCAGCGCGCTCCCCGCGGCCTCCTCAGGCGGCGCGGGCGGGCGGGAGGGAGGCGGCGGCCGCTGAGGGGAGGAGCGGGGAGGGGAGAAGGGGCCCGGCCCGGCCCGGCCCGGCCCCGCGCTGCCCCCGGCCGCCTCCTTCTCCCCGCCGCCACTCGGCTGCCGGCCCCGCCGCTGCCGCTCCTCCCCTGCTCGGCGGTTTGCGGCTCTCCGCCGCCGCTCTCCCCTCAGCGGCGGGGCCGTGGCGAGCAGGGCTCCCCGCGGCCGGCTGGGCAGCGCCGCCGCCGCCGCCGTCCCCTTCTTCCTTCCCTTTCCCCTTTCCCTTTTTTTCCCCCGTCCCTTTCCCCCTGCATGGCGGCCGCCCCGCGGCCCTAGGCAGCCCCCCGGCGCGGCAGCATGGCGCGGGGCGGAGGGCGGCGGGAGGAGGCCGCCTCCTTCACCACCTCCTCCACCTCCTCCTTCACCACCACCACCGCCTCAGCCTCAGCCGCCCGGGGCCGGGGGCCGCTGGGCCTCGTGTGCCTGGCGCTGCTGTGCGGGCTGGGAGCCGCCGAGGCGGAGTTCGCCATCCTGGAGGAAGCGCAAGTGGTGGCGGCGCAGATGAGGAAACTGGCCGCCGAGGAGCTGGGGGTCGTCACCATGCAGGTACGGACCCCCCCTTTCCCCTCTTCCCCGCTTCCTTCTCTTCCCTTTTTTTCCCCCCTTTTCTCCTGCTTCTTTTTCCCCTTTCTTTGCAAACTTTCCTTCCCGAGGGGCTGCTTCGCTTCGCCGCCCGTCTCCTTGCCCCAAAAAGAAAGAGGGAAAAGGGCCGAGCCCCCCCACCCCCCACACCACCCCCGGGACCCCCATGGCTCCCGGGCAGCCCCGGCCACTTGAGGGGGGAGCAAACGCGCTTGGAAAACCCTCCCGAGCTGAAAGGGAGACGCTTTGATGCGGCCAGCGGGGGTCTGTACCCAAATGGCCTTTTATCTGCTCCCAGCCGGCCCCATCCCGGCACCTCCCGAGCATCTCGGTGTGGGGCCGCGTTGTGGCCAGGGAAGCGCTGAGGAAACGCGGCTCTGGGCTGGGAAGGGGTTGGGTTGAGGTGGTTTTGTGTAATGAGCGGGGTTATGGACGTACCCAGCTGAGGAGAGGCGCTTTGGTGGCCCCCCAAGGCTGTGTTTCTCCTCCAGAGACAGGAGCGTCCTCCCGCAGTGGTGGAGCGCTGCTTGGGGCACCACATCTGGCTTGGCATCTTTAAAAAATAAATCAACGATTTAAAATGACTCAATGGGATCATCTTCAACGCGTATTGGCTTTGAAAAAGCAACTTGCACACAGTATATGTGAGCACGTTGCACACTGTACCTTACAGGGGTGAGGGAGAGCCCCGTCTCCCCACGAGTCGCTTGTCCTGGCTTGGGAACCAGCCGGCTGCCGGTGCACAGGGGTGCAAATAACACCAAAATGCCTTATTTACTATTAGTTGGCTATTTAAGGCCCCGAAGTAACGTAATGCGGTGAAACCGGTAGTTAAACTCTGAAAACCCTTTTCATACCGAGCTCTATTTTTATATGCTTAATATTTTGGCTGCCTCGACTCCCATCAAGCTAATGTGCAGCCTGTCCTTTGCTCCCGCCCGTAACATTATTACAGCTGTTTGAGATTAAAAACCGGTGGAAACGAACCTCCCCCGATTTTTAGAAGCTTCTCTGCTGACCTCCTGCAGTAGAACAAAAAATGTTATGACATGTGTCAGTGCAGCCCGTGGTTCGTGCTTGATTTGAGGGTAGAATTTGCCTAAGCCTGCCCAGACGGGGCCGGGTGTAGCTGGTGCGGAGTTCCCCTCTTCTCTGCTCGTGTGGGGCTGTGGAAACCATCGGAGCACAAGCGGGTGCTCGCCGTGGTGTGGCTCTGCCCAGGGGTAAGGGAGGCTGGTGGGATTTCGGGAGAAGGGAGAGGGCTTTTGTGCTTTAATTGGATCTAAACCTCAGGGTGTTGCCCTGGTTTTGGAGGCAGGTCCAAAAGGGGACAGCGGGTGGTTGGTGCTTGTGGCTGTGCAGGACAAAGGGAGCGAGCGGGCAGAGGTGGGAGACATCGATAATTATGGGATGAAATTGGGGGAGATGTTTTGGGGAGGTAGGAGGCAGGTGAGAAGGAGGGTTAATATCCAACCACCTTGGCAGCTGTGGTTTTATTCAATTCCATAGACTGCAGAGGGGGAAGCGGCAGGACTGAAGGCTGCTCTTGCACCCTGCTGTCACGCTTTGGTCCTTCTCGGTTGTAGCTCCTGCTCTGCGCGTCCCGGTGCTAGGCAGGAGGATGTTACCAGCCGCTGGAACGGGACCTGCGTGTGGGAGAGGGCTGTGGAGGAAGGGTAGGACTGAGCCGGAGAGGAAACGTCCAGTGGGTGGCGGAGCAGGTGGAAGTGCTTACTTCAAGAGAGGGAAGGTGAGAGGGTGGTTGGGGTGTGTCTGAGCTCAGGGAAGAGTCTGGGAAAAGAGAAAACTGTAAAAGGAGCCTCCGTAAGCGAGGACGAGGTGGAGCCTACAGAGCAAGCGTTAGAGGAGCAAGTGGAAGAGGTAAGAGGAGATCCCCCAAATTTCTGAGCCTTACTCGCCTGGGAAGAAGGGCAGGGTGTAATGAGTATGGAAGCTGGGAGATGGAGAATACGTTGGATTTCTGCTGGAGCAGTCAGGCAGCGCTATAAACAAGATCCGTCCCGTCTGCGCAGTGCCTACTTCCTGTCCTGCCTTCTCCTCTACCAGAATTTCACGTAATTAGTGCAGCAGTAAGACGAGCTCGGTGTTTTTAACCTAATCGCATTACTTTGCCCTGTTGGGAGGAACCAGATGCGCGTACATCGGCGTCGTGATACCGGCTGAAGCCGCGGGAAGAGCGAGGATGAGGGATTTCTGGTGCCAGCATCGCCCTGACAATTGTTTTTGGCACTCGCAGCCCAGCTATTTATAGACTGCGTGCTGAGTGTCTGCCTGGTGCTTCTAAGCAATGCTTTTTCTCGTACCTGCGAGTGCTCTGGTTGCACTTATGAATTTATTCCTCGCTGGGGCTGCGTGGAGCAGCTGAGGGTGCAGAACCGCGGTGTGGCACCGCGGTGTTCGCCGGCTGGGAGCCCTCGCGTGCTGCTGAGCACGAGATATGTGGGCTGCTGCCTCTGCTGGGCGTTACAGCTCTTGGTGCTGCTCCTGGGAGAGAGATGTGGGACGGGATGTCCATCAGTAGCCTGGCTTCTTGCTGGCACCGTTTTATTGCCGTTCCCGCTCTGTAGGACAGCTCTGAGAGAGCCGCGCTCAGTGTCGGTGCCGTGCTTAAACGCTGTGTGGATCGTAGCATGGGTTGGTGTATGTGCAAATGTGTGCCCGTCTTTCTGCACGGGGAGATCTCGTTAAGCTTCCCCCAAAAGTTCATCAACACTGCTTCCAGTTTAACCAGGAGAAGCCCCACCACAGCCTTCATTCCTTGCTGTGCGGTGACAAAGGCAGGAGGAGCAGCCTCTGCTTGGCGTGCGGGTGGAAGGATGCGACGTAGCCGTGCAGAAGACGTTTGCTGTTTTCAGATTCAGCGTTATTGGTCCTAACTGCCCGTGCTGAAGTAATCCAGCGCCTGGGAAATGAAATCCAAAGGAAGATGTCTTTGTGCCGAGATGCCTTTCTGGTGCGTGCCCCCCAGCTGCAGCGGGGCTGGAGCGGGGAAAGGCGCCGCTGTGCGGGGTGTGGGCTCTGCTGGCTCACCTGCGGGGGGGTTCCTGTTGGGGTGAAAGAAATGCGAAGAAACGGGGCTGTGCACCAGCAGCAGGATGCAGGTACGGTACCTAAATTACATAGAACCAGCATCATCTTTTTTGTTAGCGAGAGTGCGTGGGGACGGTGGCCCTATAGTTATCACAAACAGATCTCAGTTTGGCACCAGACTTCAGTGGTAATTACAATTTTTAGCACCTCTTTATGCTAAAATTACAGCAAAAATGGGGGCTGTGTCGTGACCTCGTGTACCAGTGGTGTTTCCCTTGGCTCCGTCACCTGGCCAAGCTTAGCCCAGGCTTTGATATTACAGAGTAGGTCGCTGGTTGAGACAACTGAAAATCTTCAGCCGGGAGATGAAGGCAGGAAAAGAGTAAGTGGGAACTTGTGCGAGCATTTTGTTTGGTTTTGGCAGGATTTAACCCTCTGAGCTGTGCGGGGCGCACGAGGTGAGAACTATTGAACCGCGCTTTCTTGGTAGCGTTGGGCAAGGGAGCATCTCCGCCTACAAAATGGGGATATAATGCTTTCGGTGAGAGTTGAAAGGATTAAGCAATGCTTTGAAGATGAAAAGCACTGTTAAGTGCTTTTATAACTTTCAAGATACACGCTGATGTTTCTAGCCAGATAGTAACAAAAGTTATAGGCCCAGAGGGCCTTGAATATTTCTGAAGACAGCTCTGCCATCTGAATCCTTTACGCTCACTCCGTGAAGGAAGCAGGGCCCTTTCTCGTCATCTGTTGGTTGGAAGAAATAAATGGGTTTTGACTGTGAAGACAGCAGTTTGCTGCCCGTTTTTTTCCGTGCTCCCTAACTGTGGTGGGTTTTCGTTTTTGGTTTTTTATTAATACTTGCTCAGATGATGCAGCGACATGTAAAAATAACGAACAGCATAGTACGTGCTTCTGCAGGCTGACTGGCAAATGTATTCTGTTCGCTTTGCTAATGCCTCGTCCAGCCGTATGTCCTTCCAGACACCCAGACTGAACGCAGACCAGAGCAGTGCAGCAACGCAGAGATGGCCTGGGGTTCCTGTGGGGACACCTTCATTCTGAAAAATCCACCTTCTTTGAAGATTTCTGGGTGATGGCAGAGTCACAGTCACAAGAACCATCTGCTTATTGAATCTCTTGGAAAAAGAACACTGACAGTACAAATATATATATTTTTTCTAGTGGGATGCTCTTCTGGTTACTAACAGTGGATTTACAGCTTGGCAGAGAGAAATCCCATTTCAAGCTGCTCTGCAGACCAATTGAAATACCAGACCTGTGGTTCTCCACCCCTGAAATAAGGGTTTCATACACCTCCCCTCTAATTTCTATAAGCGTTTGCAAATAAACCGGTGGGTGACTGGGAGGTTCTTGTGCAGCAAGTGGCGTAAAACACTGCAAGTCCTCATGCATTGGACCCGAAACCTGGGCATCTGTGGACAATTTAGAGCCCTCGACCAAACGACAGCACAGAAAACTGCTTCCATTTTTTTTCCTTTTATTTTCAGGTTGATTCCAGCTTGTGAAATTGAAATACAAAAGGAAAAAAAAAATAAGGAAGGCTGATAAATGTTTGAGTAGATCCTTTCTGCAATTTGGCAGCAGTGCGCTGCAATAATTACAGAGTAGGAATCAGTGGAGTAAAATCTCATCTGGTTTACATGATTATGTCTTGGTTTGAATCCAGCTACGCCAGCCTTTTGCGAGGCTCTGCGAAAGCCCAAGACTGCGGCAGTTTTTCATCCTGTTCCACTCGGATTCTTTTTTTTTTTTTTTTTTTTTCCAGCATGAAACATTTCAAAAAGCTACAGCGAGGTCCTGGTGGAAGCGCAGGGAGGACGGTGGCGCGTAGGAGACCGCATCTGAATTTTTAATTAGGCTTTGAGTTGTTTCTTCAAAGCGGCGAGGCA